TTACAACACATTAACCAGTCCATCAGTCTAGTCTCTCTTGATGTAGGTCCTTCTTTCCTCCCTCCCTACTAAGAACTAACCCTTGCTACCTCAGGGTTTATTATTATGATTAAAACAGCACCACAGTATCCAATTATAGGATGTGTTGACAGACACTGAGCTTGTTTCCAATTCTTTGCTCTTATAAACAATGGTACAGTGACTGATTGCCTGGTAAGTTGTTTTACACAAGTTTAAGCATAGCCGCAAGATGAGTTCCTGCAAGTGGAGTCGTGTTGAGGGTTATATGCATTTACATTTTGGGTGGGTATTGCCCAACTGCCCTCCACAGAGGCTCTGCAGAGGGTTACATCAAGTTTAAGAGTTCAAAGAAGAGAAGGTAAAGAGATAAGAACAGCTGGTAGGAGGCTGAGTCACAGAGATTCCTCTTTGATGAGGCAGAGTAAGCAGAGCCAACAGGGAACTCTCTGGTCCCAGAGGTGAGAAGACCAGGACACACAGTGACAGCAAAGGGATGGGAGGGGAGAACTTCCACAGAGGAACACATCCGATGGTGCAGAGGGCTACGGGAATGAGAAAAGGGAACCTTGGTTGAGGGGAAGTAAGAGACCGGGAGAGCAGGAAAGTACCTGTTTGGAACCAAGCCCCAGCCCAGTGGCTTAAGGGCCCAACAGGGGCCATCCCCAGGCCCTGAGGTGAGAGGCCAAGCCAAGGGGGCAGTGAGCTGGGAGGAGCCCATTCCTCCCTCCTTGCATTTTTCAGAAAGTAATCAGCAGTCGCAAAGGGGAAAGGAGACAGACTACTTGGCAGTCTACTAGCAGAAAGATAGGCTAGCCCCACTGGCCCCCAGGGTGGAAGTGGCAAGCTGAGTGGCACGGCAGATCTTGGGCCAAATCAGCAATGTCCACCCACACACAGCTGGCCCTCTCCAAGCCCCAGCCCCCAGGAGCAAGGGGCAGATGCCCTGCCCTACCACTACTCCCTTTTTCCCACCCCCAAGAGAGCAAAGGGCCAGAGTAGCAATAAAGCCAGCCCCTCCCCCAGCTGCCAGGCCTCAGGACTCTCAAGGGAAACACAGACTCCACCTTCTAAGCCACTCCTCCAACGGAAAGAGGGGGAAGGGGAGAGGAGGAAAGAGCAGGGTGCTCAGGAGGCCCCAGCAATCTGGACTGGCCTGGCCTGGCCTGGCCATAGGCAGGGAAAGGGGGAACAGATCAACCCACCCTGGGGAGGATTCTCCCCAGTAAATCAAAGGTTTTAGAAGCCCTGAGCACTTGCCCACTTTGCCTGCCTCGGTCTACCCTAGCCTAGCCTCCAGGATGCCACAGTGGCTTGACCCTCTTTGTACCCTCTTTGTACTTCCAACCTCTCTAATAGGACTCAGCTGAGAATGGACTCCTTGACATGCACATGGCATCCCCCACTCCCCAAAACGCTGCGTTGCCCTGAAATGGCCTGGGGCCCACACTAAGTCCAAGGTCTACCCAGCTCCCCACAGGTCCCAGGAAATCCCCACTCCATCCTGTCTTGTGCCAACCAGGCCAGTCAGGGGGTGGGGAGGTTTCCAGATGAGGAAGGCCCCATCCAGCTCAGCTTCCTGACCAGATCCCAGAGTTTCAGGCGCTAGCCCTACAGTGAGGGGTCCTGGCAGAACAGGGAGGGCAGGCAGCTCAGGTCAATTAGAGTCATCACCACCTACACTCTGCTGCTTCCTTGTGGCACAGGCTCAGGCCCTGGCCCAGTGGGACTCAGTGGCCCAGCCTGGCCCAGAGACAGTGTCCCCCTCCCGGAATCTCCACCCTACCTCTCCTCAGAGATCCAGAGCTATTGGAAGAATAAGGAGAAGAGGAAAGGCTGGAGAGGAAAGTCCCTTTTCTACTTTCCAGGACTGAGATCACCCAGCTCCACTCCAATCCTGGCGCCTGGGCTCCCCAGTCTCTGGTTCTGTTGTCCACTGAGCTGTCCTGGATCAGAGACAGGTTTACCAGAAAGGTGGTCTTGTGTGAGGAACAGCACAGGACTTTAGGAGGTCCTGCCTGGGGTTGAGTCCCAGGTCTCCCATTTGTGGGCAGTGTTATCCTGGGCAAATTATTATTATTATTTGTAATCATTGTTTGTATTTACGTCATATTGATTGTAACTTTTCCTCTTTCATTTTAATTGTACTTATTTGGGCCCCCTCTCTTTTTTTTCTTGACGAGTCTGGCTAAAGATTTATCAATTTTGTTTATCTTTTCAACAAACCAGCTCTTAGTTTCATTGATCTTTTCGATTGTTTTTTGGTCTCTATTTTATTTTTTTCTGCTCTGATCTTTATTATTTCCTTCCTTCTGCTAATTTTTGCCTCTGCTCTTCTTTTTCTAATTCCTTTAGGTGGAAAGTTAGACTTTCCATTTGAGACTTCTCTTGCTTCATTAGGTAGGCCTGTATTGCTATAAACTTCCTTCTTAGAACTACTTTTGCTGTGTCCCACAGATTTGGGAAAGCTGTATTTCTATTTTCATTCATCTCAAGGTATTTTTTTGATATCCTCTTTGATATCTTCATTGACCCATTACTTTTTTTTTTCGCATGTTTATTGGAGTATAATTGCTTTACAATGGTGTTAGTTTCTGCTTTATAACAAAGTGAATCAGTTATACATATGTTCCCATACCTCTTCCCTCTTGCGTCTCCCTCCTTCCCACCCTCCCTATCCCATCCCTCCAGGCGGTCACAAAGCACTGAGCTGATCTCCCTGTGCTATGCGGCTGCTTTCCACTAGCTATCTACCTTACATTTGGTAGTGTATATATGTCCATGCCACTGTCCCACTTTGTCACAGCTTACCCTTCCCCCTCCCCATATCCTCAAGTCCGTTCTCTAGTAGGTCTGTGTCTTTATTCCTGTCTTACCCCTAGGTTCTTCATGACATTTTTTTCTCTTAAATTCCATATATATGTGTTAGCATACGGTATTTGTCTTTCTCTTTCTGACATACTTCACTCTGTATGACAGACTGTAGGTCTATCCACCTCATTACAAATAGCTCAATTTCGTTTCTTTTTATGGCTGAGTAATATTCCATTGTATATATGTGCCACATCTTCTTTATCCATTTAACATGGGAGTCAGTTTCCTAATCTAAAAGTGGGATGACTACTAATAACACCCTTTTCAGAGGTGGTTGTCATGATGTCTAAGTGAGAGGCTGAGTGGCATAGCGATCAGCAAACTGTAGAGAGCTAACAGAGGTTATCAGAGTGACCCATCCCTGCCCTGGAGCCCCACCTGGCCAGAACAGCAGGTGGAGAGAATGGGGACTGAAGGTCTCTGGAGGGGCCCTGATCCTAGCTAACTGCTCAGTCCCAGGAGGAAAGAGAAGGAGCCTTGGGCCCGACTTTGCCCTTATTCTGGAAGTAAACAAGGTGAGCAGACAGCTTGGTTACCAGATCCTGAGCAGGGAGAGCCCTGCCTGTCTTACACACACACACACACACACACACACACACACACACACACACACACA